CAAGAAGACTCAATCTAGCCATCTCTTTCAAGCTGCCCAACTCATACTGTCCTGCCAAATTTACTCTGATGTAGCTGCATGCCAGTTGGTACAGAGCAGCCAATGAGGAGTCTGCATGTACCCTCCCAACAGTGATTATGAGTAACATGTGTCTGCTCCTAGCTTCAATTATGATCATTAATATAATATACTCCTTGGTAAGACAAGGCCCATAGAAAAGAGAATCAGAGTATAATTCAGAAATTTTTGTCTCTTCTATTTTTGTTTCCACACTTCCCTTAGGGACTAAAGAATAAATTAATAGTTTCTTCATTCATTTTTCTAGACAGATACCCCTGCAATATTATTTACGAACACTACTAAGCCTGACTTTTGATATATTAAAGGACAAAAGAAGAAATTTAAATTTCTTCTTAAATAATTTCAATTCTTCATAATTAAAAAATGAATGTGACCCATACCTCAGAGTGCACTCAAAATCGACCTTATAAATTAGTACCTAACTAGACTTAATATATGACCTAATATAAAATTAGACGTAATATAAGAAGGAAAAATAAAACTTAAAAAATAAAACAGGAGTAAATTCTCATGATCTTGGTTTAGGCAAAGTTTGCCATCAAAATTTAAAACTTTTGTGTTTCAGAATATACCCTTAGGAAAGTATAAATACAAGCTACAGGCTAGAAGAAAATATTTGCGAGCAATATATCTGATAAGAGACTTTAGCTAGAATACGTAACTCATTCAATTTAATAAGATGTTGACAAATAACCCAATTAAAAACTAAGCAAAAATCTTGGATAGATATTTTACCAAAGGGGACATACAAATGGCAAATGAGCACATGAAAAGTTGCTAACAACATTAGACATCAAGGGAATATGAAGTAAAATCACAGTAAGATCATGTTTTACACACACAAGAATAGCTGAGATCAAAAGTCAGACATGAACACGTGTTAATGAAGGTGTAGAGAAGATGAAATCCTCATTGATGAGGGAATGTAAAATGGTGCACCTATTTTGGAAAAGATTTTAACAATTTCTTAAAACTTTAACATTTGTTAAAGTTTGTAAGACTGATAAATTCTACTCCTAGGTCTCTACCCAAAATAAATGAAAATATTTGGCTACACAAAATGTTTGCACAAAAGCTCATAGCGGCATTACTCAAAAGTATATCCATATAATGGAATACTCTTCAGTAATAAAGAGGAACAAATTACTGCTGCATGCTGCAAAATGAACGAACAGACAAAATGTTATGCTAAATGAAAACAGATAGACACAAAAGTCCACATATCATATGGTTTCATTTATATGAAGTATTAAAAAAAAAAACCCAAAAAACAAAAAACAAATCTACAGAAACAAAAGCCAGATCAGTAGTTCCCTAAGGTTGGAGGTAAGGATGGGAAATGACTGCTATGGGCAGGAATTTTCTTTGCAGGTGAGAGAAATGTTCTAGACCAGCAGAGAAAATTATATAAAGCAGAATCGTCATTCTTGGGTCTTGTGATCCCATTACAAATGTAGGCAAAAACCTGCAGTAGGTATTACCAGTGTCTGTGACATTGTCACCAATAAAAACTATGCAAATTTTCATATTACACATATATTTTCATATAATGATAATGTGGTATCATTATAGATACCACAAAATCTTATTTACTCTCATCACCATTTCAAAATCATAATTCTTAGACATGCTGAAATATATTAATAATTTTAAAGAGGCACGCAAATTACTATATAATAAAGTTATTCTTTATTATTTAAACAATTGGATCTCAATATAATTAGTTTCTCTTGTAATCCAAAGTAAACATTATTCTTGGGAAAATGACTCAGGCTTCCCAGCCTGCAAAAGTTGTCCATAGCACAAGAAAAGGTTAAAAATCTCTGATACAGAGATGTATATGTCACCAAAAGAGGACTTTCTTGATAAGAAATAAAGAAAAAAAATTCTTTTATGAGCACTAATGTGAAAAGTAATGAGAATATAAAGATTAGCCAGGAGATACACTGGAGACACAAACCTAAAGAGATAAAACAAATTTGATTTGCAGTACTCCAAGGAGCCAGCATAGAACTTTATGTAAGACAATAACACAGGTAAGAGATCATTTGAATATGTGGCATATTAGATAGAGCTGGAAAAGAAAGTGATCTAAGAAAGGTTAATGATGAACAGGATTGGACATTCCACATAGCAAGAAAGAGTATATATGTGTATAAATGTGTGCATGTGTATATATGTGTATATAAGTATATACATATATATGTATTGACATCAACTCCTTTTCTTCACCAAGTTTGATTTCTGTAATAGTGTTATTTATTTTTGAAGAAGAGTCACCACAAAAATTTTAGACTTCCATTGAAGAAAATTAAAATTAAAAGGTTATACTGCTCAGAAAAGTCAGTGACTTGTTCAAAAAGTACTGAGCTAAAGAAAAACGTTACTAATCACATACTCTAGGCATTTAGTGTTTGGGCCTCTCTAATTCTTGCTTTTATCAGTCTAAATTCTTGCCATGGAAATCACTGTGTATTAACTAATCTAATTACTGATAGAACACATGGAAGCAACAGGATAATTTTAATAAAAATGTTTGAATACTACCCAAGTATTGGTGAGCACTAAAAGAAATCTCCGATGATACCACTATTTTATATTTTGTTAATTATGTTAGAATTTGCTATATTTTTAAGGTAAAATAATCTCAAAGGTAATTATTATTTCAGAAACATAAGCTTAATGATGACTATTTAATAAGCAACACATTAAGGAATGGGGATGCAGTTCACTTTTTAAACTATGATATCTTTGGGTACAGAATATGAATGAATCAATCAGCTTCTATGGGCAAATGTCCTTCCAAAGTAATTGAGTCCTAAATGCCAAACCAAAATAGTCTGCCATAGATTCAATGAAAATGTTCTGTTCTAAAGAATGTTCTGACTGATAGTAAATTTAATAACATTTTAAAATGTCAAGTTGAATTTTAATTCCAAGTCTGTATCTTCTAGAATGTAATGTGTTACAAATTCAATATCATAAGACCACCCTTCCTCAGCTTTTTTGATCTTAGCAATAATAAATTCAGAGAGCAAACAATATCAAGACTCTATTTTGCTTATTTGTTTCAGAAATTCAAACAATTTGTCTGAATTACAAACCCGTAGGAAGCTATTTTAAAATAAAAGTAATAAGAACATTTAGATTCATAAAGTCTAAATCAGGCAGATTCTTATGATATCTGATAATTCCACTTAATTTTTAACTTCCAAGCTAGACCAACCATAGGGCAAAAATAAAATTTAATAAATGGTAAAAGAGCAATATATTGGTAAAAGTTTCACCTGTTCTATAAAATATATAATTTTCAGTAAATGTTTATCTTGCTTGATGATAAAAAAGTAGTTTAGTTAATATAAATGAATTCATAAATAGGTATTTAAATACCTTAGCTATGTAAAACAACAATTCACAAATACAAGGGGCTGTAGTTTTATATTAACAAAACAATTGAGCTTGTTAATGATTTTAAAAATTTAAACAATTGTTTTTATAGCTATGTAAATATAAGTTAGCATTACTAAACATAAGTTACATTTGGGTTTGTATATTTATAACCTATAAAAGATGAAGCTAAAATATAAAATTATGTTTTAGAAATGTTTTCTATTAGATGTAAAATGTAATGTACTACTTGATATATCAAAAAATACCATTATTTGCCAATGCCCCTGTTATATATTTTGTGATCCCAGAGTCATTAGCAGCATAACAAAATATCCTGACATTCCCTGCCCCCTCCCTGCCATTCCCAAGGAAAACAGGAAATTTTTCCCTAGTATTTAGCCATTTCTCTTGAATAAATGCCCCTTGACTTTTTGCAGACCTTCTCAATTATTCCATAATTCTGAAAAAGTTGATTTTGATAAGTTTTGCCCTATTATCATTGCTTTTATTGAGGAACCCACTTTTAGAAGTCCTTACTCAAATGCTCTAGAGGTGCTTTTTATACTTGATGATATTTTAACGTTAGTTTTATCTCAGTTTCTGATTTTTCATTATTTGCATAAAAAGTGTAATTGAGTTTTATATATTGATCTTGTATATTATTTCCTGGCAAAACTTGCTGATTAATTCTAGCAGAAACCTTTTATTTCTTTTTCTTGCCTTAGTGAACAGGCCAGGTCTCTAGTAAAATGTTGAATAGAAATGGTGAGAATATACATACTTGCCTTGATTCTAACATCAAGAGAAGAGCACTGAGGCTTGAAGCAATAAGTACTGGATATTGTAGATATCCTTTATCAAGTTGAGGAAGTGGGTGAATTTATTATTTTTTATAAAATGAATGCAGGATGTTGCCAAGTGTCTTTTATGTATTAAGTAGATCACGTTAATATTGTTTCTCTAGCTATTTTAGCATAGTGTATCTTTCTCCATCATTTTACTTTTAATTTGTATCTTTTAATTGAAAACAAGATTTGTAGATGGCATATAGTGGGGTCTTGTTTTTTTTTTTTTATCCCATCTGACAGTTTGTATCTTAGTCTATATTTAACATAATTATTGAAATTGTCTACTTTAAGTTTGTTATGTCACCATTTTATTTTTAACTAATCTTTATACTATTTAACTTGTATTCTTACCCCCTTTTAAAACTGAGTGGGCAGTGTAATTATTTATTTTTAACTTTCATGTTGGTTGATATAGGGATTATATATACATGTTTAAATAAGAACACATCACTTTATTCATATAAGAACCTTAAAATACTATATTTACATGTGTCTTTCTCAGTCTTTATGCTATTATTAAAATTCATTTTGCTTCTTCATATGTTTCTTGGTGGACAATAATAGACAGTTGTGAAAATATTTTACTTTCAAGAAGAATACTGGAAAAAGTGACATAACCTCCACAACATAATTACATTTAACTTTAAAAGAAGTTAACAAAATTGGTAAATATAGTTTGAGCTTGGCCAATCTTTAATACCCTTTCTATCTAATTACTTATTTTTGTGATGAAAAGACAAGTATCTGTATTTCTTATAATATTGAAAACTGCTTCTTTGACTTTGCTGGCCCTCTTTCCAGAAGAGTTTTGTCTCTCTGCAGGAGTCCCCCCAATTAAATATCAGTTTCTGCAGCATCTCCTTTTCCTTGGTGCATGGGAAGAGCAGCTCTCAAACTCTATACCATGTATTGTTTGTAATTATTCTGATGAAAGTTTCCTTCTCCAAGTGATGAAATGCTATCTCTGAATTGTAGAAAGAATAACACATACAAATACTTCTTTCAGTGCAGAAAAAAAAAAGTCAGTGTCATGCACTAGATACACATTTCATTTTTTTTAGTGTTATTTACAATATAAGAAGATTCACAAAACATACATGTCTGCCTCTTCAAGGAACATTTTAGATCATTTTGGCATTGGTACTTTCCTTAAATTCTCCTGCACAATATTTAATATTATTACAAACTTGAATTCTAAGATATCCGGAAAAGTATAATTTCCTGTGAAATTATTGATTCATTTGACAGAAATTCTGAAGTCTGATATAACCTTATTAAATTAAATTTAGCCAATGAGAAAAAATATTGCCTTCTCTCTCCAACTTTTATTGTTAATATATACTTATTCACTTTGTAATAGGTATTCATTAAATTTCTATTTTCTCCAGGAAGGAAAAAATGTTTATTGAATTTCTCATAGACACCAGACCAAAGGTTGTCTCATTTAAGGCTAGTTTCCTTTCAAAGTCGTATTTTTATTCCTAAGATTTAGAGAACATAAACATATTCTCCAAGGTCACAAAGGCAACTGACAAAATTTAAATTCAAATCAAGATCAAATTCTAAGCTTCATGTACTTTCCATTAGCACATGATACTATATTTTAAAGGATGCAATTTTTTTACTACTAAAATGATAAAAACAATATGTTTATCGTAATGTATATTGCCTCATTTAAAGTCACTCATATCCCATGTAACAGGAATCATCATTCTTTTTTCTTATGAACATGTTGGGTAGAATCCAGACCTCACTATGCCTGCTGTTGAGCAATAGCACATGGCTAAGAGACAATACAATCATGCTGACTGGTTTAATTTTAAATTATTGTTCTTAATTCTCAAGAGGGCCTTCAATATTTCTTGATCATGAGAATATATTTTTCAAGTTCACTTACTCTCCTACTGTTCTGAAGTATTTCATTCTCTCAGAGAGAAGAGTAAAACAACTACTTCAGTCCTCTCTGATCCAATGGTTGGTTTGTTATTTTCATGAGAAAATTAAAGCAATCAGAAGAGAACCTTCACCATACCCACCCGCCAAGGTATACTTTGGCTTCCTTTCTGTTATTATAGCTCTATGAAAGCCCAACCACTTACTTGTGAACTAAATCTTATCCCTGCCTCCCAATTCAAAGGGATTTCCCCAGTTTACCCAGCATTTCTAGCCTCTGTCTTTGCCCTCTTTATTGGATAATATAATTGACATATAAATGTGCTCCTATTTCACCCATAGTTTTTTGCTTTGTATTTTCCTGCATCACTTTCCCTTCAGCCATTGCACCACTTCTCTGATCCTTTTAGCAGAGTAAACTACAGGAAATCAAAAATTTTAAAGTAGGCAATTTCAGAGAATTGCCTATATTCCATCACCAATCTCATCAATCTCACTTTTCACCACATAAATGTAAGTGGTTTTTTTTGAGTCATTCGTTCACACCATTCCATTGATTTTTTGAGAAGTATGACATATTTATACTGTGTCAAATTACTTAAGCTAAAAATACTTACCTGCATGGTTGTGAGTTATTCATTGCAATAAACATTTTAGGCAATATCTGGAAAGCAGAAAAGAAATAGTGGCTATATTTATTTTGCATAGTAGAAAAGTAGAAAGGTCAGAGCAAGGCGTGAGGTATCCTTGGAACCTGTACACATTGTCAATCACTAGTTGTTCACCTTCTTAGCGTTCCTGCAACAACTCCAGCTCTCTCTGAATGCTCCTTCATTTTCTCTGACTCCTTGGCCAGGTACTTGCTTAGTTTTGTGAAGTGCCAGCTTTTCTTGAAGAATATCCATAGCATTGAAGTTAGAGGCTAGAAGCATCAAAGGCATTGTGGGTTTTAGTTGATCCAAGTGAGTTCAACTGATCTTTGCAAGATGTTGGTCTGAACTATCTTCCTCCACTTCATATTCGTCTTCTTCCAACTGTCTACCCTACCCCCATATCTACTACAGTGGCATAAGAATAGATTCTTATAACAACTGTATTTTTACATGTAATATATTTATATATCAAAGGTATACCTGTCTATATTTATACTGATATATTAATATATGGTATATTTATACATATATCTATATTTATGTAAGTTTAAAGGGATTGCTTTTGAAATGCTTGATAGAAATATAAATATAGATCTCAAGTAAGCATTTGAATATAAGAGTCAAAGTAAAGCTGTATATATATTTATACATCTATCAATATTTATACGATTTATATATACATCTGCTTATCTCTGAATACATAATTATACAGCAAGATCACCTCACTTCACATTGCTAAATCTAATGGTCAATATTCAATTTTTCCTTGTGTTTTTCTGTTTATAGTATGTCTTGTTCATGACCTGTCAACAGAATATGACCTGGATGATTTTTCCCCTTCTTTATACACATCACATGGCTTCCAGAAAATTGTATGTGCCTTTTTACTGCTTCCCCTCAGTTCTGCTTGATAATTTCTCTTTCCTTTTTGACTTACTAATGGTAGAGTGTTTCAGAGGGTAGTCCTTAAATAGCTTATTTATAATTACTTTCTTGCGTATAATCAGCCCCAAAGTCTTAAACGCTGTCTATATATGCTGAAGACCCTCAAATGTATAGCTCCAACCTCGAAGTCTCTCCTTTAATTTGACTCTTCTATTCAAATACTTAGTTGAGATCTACATGTGTATGTCTATGACCATCCAGTCTGCTTGGGACTCAGAGAGAACAAAAACAAAGAAGCAAATATGCCAATTTATCTACTGGAGCTGGGATTCACTTTTCCTATTCTGTCCGTGGACAATAATTCCAGGCTCCTCAGTCTTTGGACTTCAAGACTTAAACCAGCAGCATCCCAAGTTCTCAGGCCTTTGGCTTTAGACAAACAGTTATATTATTAGCTTCTCTGGTTCTGAGACCTTCAGGCTTGGACTGAGCCTTGCTACTAACACCCTGGTGTCTCCAGCTAGCAGATAGCTTGTCGTGGGACTTCACAGTGTCCATAATCACATGAGCAAATCCCACTGATAAGCATGCTGTCACATATCTATATCTATCTGTCTGTCTATCTATCATTTTGGTTCTGTCTGGAAACCTTGACTAATACCCAAACTTAATCGAGATGTCAAAACAATGAGTATAAACTCCAGATAGGAAAAATAGAAAGAGTTCATTCTCCACAATATGCCATATATAAATGTTGAAAGTCAAAATTAAAAGGAAAATCTTAAATCTTTAAATCAAAAGAAAATAATGTGTTATGTTCAAAATCGCCACAACAAGATTAACAGGTGACTTCTCAAAGATGACAAGACAAAGGGAAACGTATTCAGAATGCTGAAAGAAACAACCAAGAATTTGGTATCAAACAAAACTAACTTCCAAAATGAAGGCAAAATGAAGCTATCTTGAGGTAAACCAAAACTGAGATTACTTGTTACAAGATAATCTGCTTTACAAGAAATATTAAAGAATGTTCTTCAGGCTCAGGGCAAGTATTTGAATCCACATGAAAACAAAAACTGGTAAAGATAATTATGTAGGTAATTATAAACATAATATAATTGTATGTTTGTTTTTCTTCTTTTAATTGACTCAAAAGCACCTCTATATACACATACAGGAAAGAGAAAGAATGCTCTGTTCTATTATATATACTCATGTGATATAATATATTTGGCAATAAAAGCACAATGGAGGCAGGTGCAAACAAAGCTATATTAAGTTATACTGGGCAAGAAATGGCAACTTGAATATCCAGCACCATGTGAAAAGTAACAGAAATAGTAAACAAGAATGGAAATATAGTAAACACGATAAATACATTCTTTTCTTTGCTACACTTCTTTAAAAGGCTTTTTTACTTTTGATAAATTTATTACTATATTTGAAAATTTATGTAAGTACATTCTGTGAGCATGTAAGATATAGATATAATATGTATAGCAATAATAGCACAAAATGAAAAATAGGAATAGAGCTATGTAAGAGTAATATTTCTATATTTCAGTGGAATTTAGTATAAATCTAAACTAGATTCTGATAAGTTAAAATGCACATTTTAAGCACTCTAAAAAGCACTATGACAACGACTCCAAAAGTCATTAAAGTAAATTAAATTAAATTACATTAAAGTAATTAAAATCTTATACTAGAAAATATCCAAGTAATGCATAAGAAAGTAGTAAAGGAGGATAAAAAGAATAAAAGATGAAGGTATATGGAAAACAAAACTAAAATGGAAGATGTAAATTCAACTATATTAATAACATTAAATACGAATGGATGGAGAAATCCATTTAAATATCAGAGACTGTTAAAAAGAAAATCTTAATTCTTTAAATCAAAAGAAAATAATGTATTATGTACAAAGTAGCCACAACAAGATTAACAGGTGACTATTGCTAATCTTGACTACATTTATTAAAAATTCAAGATTCAACTATATGCTGCAATGTCTCTGCAGAACACATCTTTATTTTTATGTGTCTTAATAAAACTCTACATCACTGAAGTTTTAAGTTCACATAAATTTTATCAGTTCTTCTTTTATTTTTTTCTTCAGTAATTAAAAAATATATAATCAAGCAGTGGGTCAGATTCGGCTTGTGGGCCACAGTTTGCCAACCCCTCATTTTTGATGCCAGAAATTTTATTTATTTATTTCCAGTTGACAAATAACAATGTGTGTATTTATGGCTCACAATGTAATGTTCTGATTTATGTGCACATTCTAGAAAAACTAAGTCATGCTAACAACATATCTATTGCCTCAACTTATTTTTTGTGTATGTGGTGAGAACATTAAACATCAATTTCTTTAGCAATTTTGAAATATAAATAAAGGACATTACTATTTACTGTGACCAGTGTGAGGTGCAATAGATCACTGAAATCTATTCCTGTAGTCTAACTGAGACTTTGTACCCTTTGATCAATATCTTACCTTTTTCTTACCTCTCCTCCTCTCCCCCAGCCCCTGGTAAATAATTTTCTACTCTCTATTTCTATGATGTTAACATTTTTAGATTCTACATATAATTGAAGTCTTACATTGTTCATCCTTCTGTGCCTCACAGATATATGAAAAAATGCTCAACATCTTTAATCATCAGGGAAATACACATAAAAACACAATGAAATATCATCTCACACCTGTTAGAATTGTTATTAACTACAAGACAAGTGATAGCAAGTGTTGGTGAGGGTGTAGAGAAAAATAAATCCTGTTATATTGTTGGTGAGAATATAAATTAGTACAGTCATTTTGAAAAATAGTATAGAGGTTCCTCAAAAAATAAAAATGGAATTACCATATGATCCAACAATCCCACTTATGGGTATAGCCAAAGGAATTGAAATTGTTCTTTCAAAAATATATCAGCATTCCCATGTTCATTTCAGTATTATTCACAATAGACAACCCACAGAAGCATACTAAGTGTCCATCACTGAATGAATGGATAAGGAAAAGGTGGTAAATATACACAATTGAATACTACACAGTCTTTAAAAGAAAGAAATTCTGTCATTGTTGACAATATGAGTAAAATCAGAGATACACTTTAGATTTAAAGAAGCAAACAGTTTGAACATTACAGTATGGTAAAATATATTTTATATAAGCAACAACAAGAACACTGGAGTGGGTATACTATTATCAAACAAAACATGCTTTAAAGCAAAATATGTAAAGATGGCCAAATAGAGACAGCTCTGGTCTGCAGCTCCCAGCATGATCAACGCAGAAGACAGGTGATTTCTGCATTTCCAACTGGGGTCTTAGCAACCAGCAGACAAGGTGATTCTCTCCTGTGCCTGGCTCAGTGGCTCCCACACCCATGGAGCCTTGCTCACTGCTAGTGCAGCAGTCTGAAATCGATCTGCGAGAGGACAGCCTGGCTCAGGGAGGGGCATCCGCCATTGCTGAGGCTTCAGTAGGAAAACAAAGTCACTGGGAAGCTCGAACCGGGCAGAGCTCACCACAGCTCAACAAGGCCTATGGACTCTAGACTCCACCTCTGTGGGCAGGGCATAGCTTAACAACAGGCAACAGACAACTTCTGCAGACTTAAACGTCCCTGTCTGACAGCTCTGAAGAAAGCAGTTGTTCTCCCAGCACGGCATTTGAGCTCTGAGAACAGACAGACTGCCTCCTCAAGTGGGTCCCTGACTCCGAGTAGCCTAACTGGGAGACACCTCCCAGTAGGAGCTAACAGACACCTCATATAGGCAGCTGCCTCTCTGGGACGAAGCTTCCAGAGGAAGGATCAGGCAGCAATATTTGCTGTTCTGCACCCTCTGCTGGTGATACTGAGGAAAACGGTCTGGAGTGGAACTCCAGCAAACTCCAAGAGACCTGCAGCTGAGGGACCTGACTGTTAGAAGGAAAACTAACAAACAGAAAGGAATAGCATCAACATCAACAAAAACCTCATCTACGCCAAAACCCCATCTGTAGGGCAACAACATCAAAAACCAAAGGTAGATAAAACCACAAAGATAGGGAGAAACCAGAGCAGAAAAGCTGAAAATTCTAAAAACTGGAGCGCCTCTGCTCCTCCAAAGGATTGCAGCTCCTCACCAGCAACAGAACAAAACTGGAAGAGTGACTTTGAGGAGTTGACAGAAGTAGGCTTCCGAAGGTCGATAATAACAAACTTCTCTGAGCTAAAGGAGGATGTTCAAACCCATCACAAGCAAGCTAAAAACCTTGAAAAAAGATAAGACGAATGGCTGACTAGAATAAACAGTGTAGAGAAGACCTTAAATGACCTGATGGAACTGAAAAACCATGGCACGAGAACTTTGTGACCCATGCACAAGCTTC